GCTGCTGATTTTTTCTTACTGAATCTGAAATCAAACCTATCTCCCTCATTACCGCAGATGTCTATCAATCTCTGCAAATCTTCCTTGTTGTCGGTGATCAGCACTATATCATCTGCGTACATCAATGCTGGTAGTGCCTCTTCAATGAGTTTTTCTTGTTTGACGAAAGATAGGTTGAAGCCCACTCCACTTCCCTCTAATTTGGCCTCTAATCCTTCTAGGTACATCATGAATGACAAGGGTGACAGAGGCCACCCCTGCCTAAGCCTCCGTTTTACTTCTGTAGGCTTGGATGCCTGTTTTTCCCTCTTTATAACTACATTGTTACGTTTATAAATATTCTTTAAAAGATTAGTGACTCCATCTTCCCCACTTGGTGTGTCCAGTATTCCCCACATGTCCTCTTGAACCACGCTATCGTATGCTCCCTTGATATTCAAAAAATGCTGGCCACAGGGGCCTGTGTTTCTTTTCTGCTATTTCGATGCACTGCGTCAGTGAGAACAGATTGTCTTCCAACCTCCTGTGTTTCCGAAACCCATTCTGCAGTTCCCCCAGCACCCCCTCATCCTCTATCTAAGCCTGCAGTCTTTCCTTTATAATCTGCATCGCCAGCCTGTAGACAACTGATGTCACTGTTATAGAACGGCAGTTTATTTATGTCAACTTTGTCACCCTTTTCTTTATAGATCATGCTCATCCTGCTAAGTTTCCATCCATCGGGGATTTCACCATCAATTATTTTTTTGCTCACTGCCTCTCTAAAAGTCTGCTTAGACTTCGGACCCAATGTATTTATCAGCATAATTGGAATGCCATCTGGGCCTGTTGATGTACTACTAGGAACCCTCTTCTCAGCCCTTTCCCACTCTCGTTGTGAAAATGGAGCCATTGCTCCACTTGATTCATCCTTGTCTATTGTGTTGCAGAAAGCACTTTTTGTTGACATTTTTCTGTCACCCTTGTTCTTATATATTCAATAGCTTCGTCCCCTTCTAGCCTAGCACCTTGAGCTGTAGTTATAAACCTCTGCTCTAAGCTCGTCTCATTTCTTGGGGAGTTTAGATGGTTTCAAAATTTTGCAGCTGCCTTTCTATCTTTTTTATTTACTTCACTTCTGCCAGACACTGAGCTCCCTTTCTTCTAATCTTTTCATTGATCAGAAGGGATGTATCCTTTTTTTAACACGAAAGCGTTTTATGTCGGGGCCCACCAAAACATCGCTGACGTATTTTCGTCAAGGAAGTCACGTCAAAAAAATGCATTCGACCAGAAGACAGAAAAAACGGCCGCGTATCTGCGTGGTTCAAGACGATAGTCTTCTGTCAGCCTTTTTTCGTGCATAGCGTCGCATTTTTGGCGCAGCCTAAGAAGCACTGTGACCTTTAGAATTGCGTATCGGTGTATTTTCTAGTAAACAAACTCACCACCTAATAATTACGTATTGATGTTGCGCATCAGGTAAGTGTAATATTTGCTTTTTTATCGACAAAGTTCACAGGTATGAAGGCACCCACCAATCCAAAATAGTTGGGCGTGCTTAAACTTTGGCCGGGTGGCTCAATCGTAAGATAGATCCAAATTTTTTGCGTTAAGGTACTCTTGAAGTTATCGACGGATGAAATCGGGGACCAGACATATGCGCGAAGAAACCGTGATTGTCGATGCCAGCCCCGCTTCATCGATGAGGCGCTGAAAGAAAATGGCACTGTTGTTAACGACTCGGATGAAGTTCAAGAAGATTCCCGGGACTACTTTGCAAAACTGCTGCAGATCATGACGCACAGGACGACGATTTTAGTGCTAAACTCTCAGCCTTTTGCGAAGGTTTGCCATCGCTAGGCTCGGAAGACGGCTTAGTATTATATGCAGAAAATGATCAAGAAGAAGTATGGTACGCCCTAAAATCAATGCATACGTCCACGCCACCAGGCCCAGACGGAATACTCACGGCATTTTATCTGCGCTTCTTCGATATCTTGGAAAACGCAATCTCTGATCTCGTGAATATTTTGTTATGCGATAGTCCAAAACCACAGTCCTGCCCCGCCGCGGTGGTCTAGGGGCTAAGGTACTCGGCTGCTGACCCGCAGATCGCGAAATCGAATTCCGGCTGCGGCGGCTGCATTTCCGATGTAGGTGGAAATGTTGTAGGTCCGTGTGCTCAGATTTTGGGTACACGTTAAAGAACCCCAGGTGGTCGAAATTTCCGGAGCCCTCCACTACAGCGTCTCTCATAATCATATGGTGGTTTTGGGATGTTGAACCCCACGTATCAATCAAAAATCACAGTCCTTCCGCAAAGGAAGGGTGACTCTATTGCTGAAAGAGGGTGTGTAGCCGCCAGATCTAAAATCGCGAAGGCCTAGTATACCCTGCTAAACACAGCTTATAATTTAGTAGCTCCGCTGTTATCACGGCGTCTGCGGGCTTTCTTGGAGGAGATTGTGTCACTCTTGCAGTCATGCGCATTACCAGGACGTTTCGTCTTCGTACCTCATACAATCATTGGAGACATCTTCGCATGTGCCTGAGAAAAACTGATCTCAGGAGTATTTATTTCTCTTTCAGGAGAAAGCATTTGATAGACTGGAACACAAGTATCTTTTCGCTATTTTTCGCATCTTTGACCTTTCAGAGCAGGAAATACTTCATCAGGATCTATCAAGCTAACTTTAATTCAACAATGAAGTGACCAGAAGCTTTGCAATTCAAATGGGAGTGAGAGAGAACTGTCCGTTGTCCCTGGTATTATTCATTTTGTCCCTAGAGCCTTTGATTGTAAAGGTTGCAAACTGCGAGCGCACACTGGTTTACCCAATTACAGGCAGTGAAACCTTCAAAATTGCCACATACGCCGATGATATTTTGGCCTTTTTTGTAACTTGTCTAGCAATTGTACATTCCTTGACTTTTTTGCTCAGTATTCCTATCTGTCTGGTGCTCTTTTAAACACAACCAAATGCATTTCGCTTTGGGGCTTCAGAGAACTATTACCATGAGACGTCGAACATTTTTAAGCTCTTAAGTTGTTAGGCGCTTACTTTGAAGAAGAAGATGTCTCAAAAAGGAGCCGGGATGACGTATACTTAGGAGATCCACTGATGTCATATCAGCAGCCACTCATTTCAACCTGTCACTAACGGCAAAAGCAACAGTCATCAAGACACAGACATCCGCTTTTGCGTTTTACATAGCACACATTGGCCTTCTACCTCGCCGTGTAACAGGGCACCTCGCCTCCATTGCGGGAACCTTTCTTTTGGGAGGAAGACCAGGGAAGGTTCAAAGGAAAATTTTACAGCTTCTCACAAGCCGTGGAGGCCTGGGTCTCCCAGACATGTTAACGTTGACGAGAGCACTGGCTGCAAAAACAACATAAAATCTCTTCGTTTACGGAAATTACCACGGGTGCAGGCTCTTGATGTACTGGAGGATGCAGTACACTAAAAGGAACTTTCACGGCAAGTCCATGCATCAGACCACGAGCGGAAATTCTGATTCAGTTTTACAGAGCTACCAGTGGCCAAAAACGAACAGTTGAATCAATAGGTTCATGCAGTCTGGAAGATGTTTAATCACAGGAAATAAGTGAAATGCTGACAAGTAGCACACTGAGCAAGGAGGAAGAAAATGCATCTTGCACGAGAAAACGGAAACGATGGCGTTGCGATCGCGTACTTAACCAGGTGCGCGAGTTCGACCAGTTGAGAAAATGGAAAGCATTGCCTACACGTGGGCGGTTAGCACACTGGGGAGTCGTTCCAACTGACCGCTGTCCAAACTGCGGCAAAACAGAGACGGCACAACATGCAAGTTTTAGTGCTCGGTGGCGAAAGGCGTCTGGCACATGGTACAATGCCTCTTTGGCTTTCGCACAGTGCGCATGGAAACAGAATGTGGACTGTTTGCAAGACTGGTCGTTACAGTGACTTTGTATGTACTGTGGCGGCGACGCTGTTTAGCGGAAGTACGTCGCAAGCCTCATAAAGACGCATATCCCGCTGTCCCGGCAATACGGCGCATTGTGTGGAATTATCTCGATGAGCAGCTGGAAACACATATCGAAGAGGATTTCCTTCGACGATGGCACACACGTTTTTCCAGAGTAAGGGAGAGAGAGCTGGAGTTTTCAGTTGTTCCGTACCAGCCATGTGCCCACTCCAGTACGCATGCATACGTGGTTTTCTCTGAAATGTGATTGACCCGATTCATTTTAAGTTTCCTTTAATTGTAACATTCGGATACACAGTGATACATTTGATTTTAGTACTCATTTGCAAGATGTGCACCCTGTCTTTAATTGTTTACGATGTTTCGTTTGTAAGTGTATACAAGTAAGGTGTACAATAAAACTTCTTTTTCTCAGGTATCCTTTAAAAAAAGTTCTTTGACTCCTTTCGGAAAGTTCTTATTTGACACGTATATGACCCGCTTTAAACTATCTTTTAAGCTCAATGTACTGTCCTCAGAGAGTCGTGTGACCGCGTTTCTAGTAGGGGAAGTACAATTTTGACAACGCCTTAAACCTGCAGGTGGTGACCTTACCCCAAGCGTCGTAAGGCCCCTGTATTTTTCAAAGGTAGCGCAAACTCCCTTCCCCGCGCCGTTTCCCCCTCGCCCGCCACTCTCAGCCGCCATGACGGAGCGACTCACGCGGAGCGCGCCGCCGGACGGTTTCGTTTTGTCGCGTGGCGCGTTGAAGTAAGGCCCCTCGGGGCCTTACGTTGAAAAGTTAATATGAGTGCTCTTAGAGCTCGAGTTTGTACAGGAACAACAGAGCCCTACTGAAATTTGGGACATGCATGCCTGCTTCCATAATTGGTACGTGTGTAAACGATTCATCCATAAAATACCACAAACGTTTAGTGGGATGAAGGTAGATTTTATTGAGTGCGCAAATAAAATGCGGGAAGCATCGAATGATCACAAACGCTGCAAAACATTCCAGTAGAGCGACGACAGGGCGAAACGATTTCGCTATCAAATCAGATAGCCTCTGATTTGATGCATGATGCAATTCATGCTTACAGCTGCCAGGAGGCAGCTGTAAGCATGAATTGTAAATACAGAGGCTAGAGGCGTGAACATTTGCCATCACAGTGCAGTTAACTTACAAAATGGGCTGCCCACTGGTTCAGGGTCACGGTCTATTGACGTTGCTGTGTTGTCCGAGGAGGCAGCTGTAAGCATGAATTGCGTAAGTACATAGTCTAAAGGCGCGAACATTTGTCATCACAGCGCAGTCAACTCACAATATAAACTGCCCACTGGTTCAGCGTCCGGGGCCCTCCCCACTGACGTTTCTGACTTATCCAAGGCTACAGCTGTAAGCAAGAGTTGAGCAAGTGCAGTGTAGGGTTGGTGATGTTTGCTGCCACAGTAAGACAGAATTGGATGCCGAATTAATCAGGTTCACAGGTCATAAAGATAAATGCAGCAACTATGCTATCTGCCAGCGATCCAAACACACTGTATTGTCATATAGACCCCAAAACATAATCGTATTCACAACACAAGAGAGGAATAGAAACTACAAAGGGGCCTCACCAGGAACCGTTTCATTCCCCCTTTTGCGGGGTGGCTTGCGCTCTTTCGGAAGAGGCCGATGCGCAAATATAGAAGGAACCGCATTTGGCTTGAGTTTCTTGATCCCAGTTTGTGCCAGAATTGCTGGCTCATACTGATCCATCGTGAAGTGTTTCTGAAAAATACCGACATCCTCTATCGCATTTTTGCCCTTTGGTTGATGTGATATTGCCGAAGCAAAATATTTTGCTTCTTACGTTAAAAATGCAAACAGCCACAAAACCCAGATGATTTTCTTGCATTTAGTAGGTGTCTTTCTCTTTGTTAATCGAAAGTGTACAACTTCGCAAGTATGTTCGAAATTTGAACGAAAGTATCTATGCATTTTACAAATAAACAACTATACAACATTATATTTACCATACACTCTCTTATATTAGCTGTACCCGCATGCACAAAATTAGGTCATGGAAGTGCGCAAAAGTGAGATAAATATGAAAAAATACAAACTGAGAACACAATAAACCACAATAAAACAATAAACGCCGAAATTTTGCCTACAGGTAATCAAAGTTCGAGCGAAAAAAAAAAAGGAAAAACGATCAAAGACGTGGTTGATCTCTGGAGAAGCATAATTGCTTCCGCTGCAAATGGTTCCATTTAGAAAGCGAATCGCGAACGCCAAACATTCAACAGTAATTATGTTGTGGCCGTATTCGAATATTCGAGCAAGCTAAAAACGATCGAGCTGTCATCGTGGTTGAAATCGTGCGAGAAAGCGTCGACGGAAACTTCAAGCTGCTTTTGTTTAACATGAACCTGAACCAAGGATGAGCTTTATCTGAAAGCCTTCCGGAGGCATGTCTACGCGAAGAAGTTCTGTAGTGAGTGCTTACCTCGCAAAGCCTCCCTCGGTGACAATCGAAGTTTTTCCTGCCGATGCGATGCAGCCATACCGCTCTCCGCTCCTCATTATTTTTCCCTCGTGGAACCACAAAAAGCTTCTAGCCTTTTGCAATGCTGCTGGAGCAGCCAACGGCACAGCAGGTCGGCATTTCGCTGCATCCGAGGCCGCCTTGCTAAAGGCAACACACGTGGGAGCGAGATGCAGTGCGCTCACTCATGGCGCTGCTGCCCGGCGGAGCCGAGGGGTCAACAAGGTTCATTGGTCACGTGTCGCGCCTGGTCCAATAGGGTAGCAGAAACGCGCGCCGGAGTGAGCAGAGACGTAGAGGGCGGGGGGGAAATTCTCCTCCGCTTTTTGTACAACGGTTTGCGCTACCTTTGAAAAATACAGGGGCCTTAAAGCGTCGGCGTCGCTCATAGCATCCGTTCATACCAAAGATGCCTCTGCGACGCGCCTGCTTCACCTGGATGCGACTCCGCGTTCCCCACTAACGCTACTGTGCTCTGTAAGTTTTACGCTCACCCCGCGTAAAATCACAGCCGGCCAACAGGGAAAACACAATGCACGTTGCGTTCGCATCTAATTGGGTAGTGGTGTTTGATAACTGTCACATGCAAGCGACCTCAGCGCAAGTTAGGTGTACAATCAGCCACGCTCTTCTGGCTTTCACAGCACTTTTTCTGGTTCCGCTCTCACCTTTAACTACTACAGCTATCACAGCTGACCATCGGTTTATCTTTCGTTATTAATCATAGACGTTAGTCGTTGAGAGAGAGATGTACGTATTACTGGGCGTCAATGTGGATGCACCCACGTTCAACGATTCTTTAGTAGTCAAACTCCAGCAGGCATTGTACAAGCTCTCTGATATCAATGTACAATAAATATTAAACTAATTTGGCAAGGAAACGTCCTAATTTTATGTTACAATGATTCTTAGAGGATGGAGGGAATCAACCATGTTTTTTTCTATTTGTCTTGCCATGGCAAAGTGCTAGAAATCTAAAGATAGGGGCTACATACCCAAAAGGATGCACAATTGGATTTGATGGTAGAGTATTTTATCACAAAGCACTACAAGAAGACACTGAAAGTAGTGTTTTGTTCTCTGTCTCTTATGTTCTTATAGTGCTCCCTGTTGAACTTGAACGCATGTTGCAAATATCTTTTCTTGCAACACTATCTGCTATCAAACGCCCATGATGACTCCCATTGTACTCACAAAAAATTGTGTACAGTAATAAGCTTCCGAACGAGCGATCACCATATCCAGCATGCCCGGTCAACTGTTACCAAATCATGCTCTTTTGTACAAGTAACTACCATAAATTGAAGCATATTTGTTTGCGCAGAATGCACCAAGAAAAACGTGGGTATCTGCTGCTTAAAGCGCCTCGCTGTCGATACAATGTTCGGGCAACGCGCCCTATACTATTGGCTCAGGCCCCAGTCGGGCCTGATCTGCGGTCGGGCCGGTCTGGGTAGGTGATTTTTTTCGGGTTCGGGCCGGGCCAAGGTGTCGCTTTTGAGTCACCAGACCGGGCTTGGTCAGGTAAGCCTCAAAGAGCACCGAGCTCGGGCTGGGCCTGGGCCGAGAAGCATGGCCCGTGCAGTGCTCTAACTGAGGCAGCGTGCCAAGCGAATATATTGGTGATCTTGGAGCAGGTAGGGCGCGCGCACATCGAGGCACCCTAGGAGCAGCTAAAGTCCCTGAATCGGAGCAGTGTGCCCGTAGCGCCACCGTGCATCCGCGCGAAGTCGCTGCGTAAACATTTCTGCACTGCGTCTAGAAATGACGCCGATCACTTTTAGCGGCCACGCCCGACGTGTCTAGACGCAGAGACAGCCTGCTAAGGTCATCTCATAAATCTGGCAATCGTCATCGTGCGAGCTGCTTGCTAGCTTCAAGGCGTTCGTCTGCGAGCTGTTGTAACAACCACATTAGGCTCTTTTAGCGTGCATGTATATACTTCTTTACGTTTATGTGTTACCGCATACTGGTTTGCGTTTACCGTCCTAATTGGGCTTAAATATTATGTTGTGTTGAGTTGTGAATTTCGCTTTGCCTTCATAACTACAGCTTTGTGGTATCAGATCTAGCCTGGAGTTGGCAAAGACGAGGTCTCCATTTTTCCTAATGGTTGTTTCCAGTCATACGAAATGCATCGTAGAGCAGATCGAGACGTCATATACTGCACAAAACAATCGTTGTCCGTGATCATCATAATCATTATTTTCATCGCCATCAATCGTCATCGTCGTGGCGTACAGTGGGTACCTTGCATGTACTCTGCCGTACATACGGACAGAAAGAGAATGTGTGTCTGTAACGTGCTTGTTCTTCATTGGCATCAGCATCATCGCATCGGTGGCTACTGCGCACAACGCCAACAGACAAGCCTCGACCATAAGTAACTTCGCCTCTAAAATAAACCACTGGTCCATCTGCTTCTGTTTCTCGCAGGACTATCGACACTGTTATAACAAAGCCTTTGTTTGTTTGTTTGTCTTTTCGTTTTCTGAAACTTCGAGAAATGAACAAGAGAATGAATCTGGAACTATAGCTTCTACGGAGAGTACATGACGGAAAATATCGAGAAAAAAAGTTCACCGCTGCTCGATTAATCCCCTGCATTGGGTGTGAGCCATGCAGCGAGGAAAACATGAATAACCACATGACCTAGGGGCGCGCCATAAGAATGAGAGAACCCGTTTTGTTGTAAACAACTGAGCACCACCACGCATTCGGTTATATCTGCATCAGCGTGTCGCCCATATTATGCTCAACTAAAGAAACCCGCCTCAATGGTCTAGTAGCTAAACCCGCCACAATGGTCTAGTGCTGCTTACATGCGGGTTACCCTTATGAAAAAATTTAATGTACTTTTATAAACAGGCTAATGTCATTTGACATAAGAATCTTTAAACTGCCTAATGTCAGTCTAATGCGTTTTCCTAATGCGTACCTAATGTGAGTCTAGTAGTAATTGGCCACCGTTAGTCTATAGAGTTATGACATTAGAGTTTCTGATGACTATAGTCTAGCGTAAGTCTATAGAGGCCCGACATGAGAGTTTCTGATGACCATTGGCTAGCATTAGTCTATAGAGTCCCGACATCAGAGTTTCTGATGGCCGTTGTCTAGTGAAGTGCTATCGAGCATATGCATTAGGTTGACATCAAACGTCGCATTGTAGAGTAAGGCCCTATGCCATCAAGAGAACATTTGCTGAAAACCAGAGCAATAAATAGCTTCATTATTAATATGAAAGTGTGCACACATTACAGGATTGTAAAGGAAATACCATCAGACCATTTCCACACCCGAACAGATCATTATTTTTTACATGTCAGAATCTTTCGAGGCCGATAAATAATGCTGCAAATATATAATGCCTGCATTTAGAAACACGCATTACATTGTCAAGCAATTCAGTTCCAATAGGACAAAATGGAGCTAGTTCGTCCTTGTGTACAATTCTTGTGAAAGTGTTGTTTTATAATTACAAACAAACAAATAAGACATTTTCAGGAAGAACTGCATTTGTATTTAATTTTCTACTTTGCACTGATGATAGGGTCTCTTGTAGCACTGTCGTGGTGGCACTGCTGCTGTATTGAAAACCTGCAAGAGAGAACATAAAAACTTAGAAGGCACTGAAGCATACATTTTAGCGCAGCACATGAATAGACATTGCAATTGATGAGTTATGGCTTTTCTAAATAGTGATATATATTTATCACTTATATTAAATAATCCATCTGAATTCAATGTCGAACCACATAGCCTTGACTTCATGCTACGTTGAAAAAAACAAAAAAAAAACTAACCACTATACATCAGTTCAAAGGGCCGCCGATTGATCAGGAATTGGAGAGAAGCCAGCTATCACGAACAGAGGAATCAGCTGAGTCAGCTTCTATAAGGTAATATTGCAGAATAACCTCCGTTCACGATTCCAATGGCACCCAATGTATGACTACAGCATGCAACAGTGGGTCTATTCCGCAACTTTGTTTTACACAAAACTTTCATGTTGAAATCCCTCTTCTTTAACTGAGAACTATTGTGGGCTCATGCTCAGAGGTGCAAAGTCATAGGCGTGTGCAGGGTTTCTCTACACTTGTGTGGCGGGGAGATTCGATTGATTGATTGATTTGTGGGGTTTAACGTCCCAAAACCACAATATGATTATGAGAGACGCCGTAGTGGAGGGCTCCAGAAATTTCGACCACCTGGGGTTCTTTAACGTGCACCCAAATCTGAGTACACGGGCCTACAACATTTCCTCCTCCATCGGAAATGCAGCGGGGAGGTTCACCAAGGCACTCCCCCTTACTTAGTTAAGTAAGCTTCCAATTTTGAAGCCCCCGTCTTAGGTAACAAGTTGGGAGAGAGGGGAGCTGCCCCCCACTCCTATGTGCACGCCTATGTGCAAGGTGAAATTGAGCAACAAACAGGCACATTAAATGTAGAGCTACGTCTAGGTAATACAGCTACACAACTCTAGTGAAAACAATTAAAAAATTGTGCTTCTTGTAACCTACAGTATATTACACAGATATGCATGTTGTAACATGTTACAGGTCGTTCCTACAGATCTTTCTACAAACAAGAGATTGGAGGAATCAAGCAAAACATTTTTGTACCCTTGATTACTTTTTCATATTACTCAATAGCTGAAAATACATTATTTATGTACCTTGAAGAGGTGACCAAAGTTTTATAAAAAAAGGAAATATTTTTACCTAGCTCCATGCTTAGAGTGCGCAATTGCCCATGTTCACTATCCAGTATTGCAAGTTATGAAATTGACCGCTGGTCATTAACAAGCACAAGAATCCACACTGGGGTGTGTTAGCACTTGGTGAAAGTCTTGATAGGACAAGGATAGGAACTCTTTTTAAAGAAAACTTTCAACAGCAGAAAAAACATGCACAATCTAAAGGGCGGCAACAGGAACTAGCACTACTTTGTGTCGTCTCTCTTTTCTCTGTTAGTATTTTGCCGTACCTTAGAAAAGTTTCTAGGTGATGAATTACCAACCCGACCGAACACTTGCGTTATCAAGTATTTAAGGAAAGAGCACATCACAGTGTTGAACTCATGATGATTTTAGACCATACAGATGACAAAAATATTGCCTGAACCCACACGCCACAGAGATAATACAATTTAGAGTCTATGTACGAGCTCAGCAAGGAAATAAAAT